CACCAACATCGCAGGTCTTGGGTCGTGAGTAGTGCTAGCTAGCTCAAGTGGCATCAAACATGTCGGCACACAGGCTCGCAGGCATGAAATGGGCTGAAGGTTGCAGTCATGTTTTGCATAAAGCACTGGTTCCTGACCACGGTTCCTCGAACTCCCATGGCGCTTGATTCACAAGCGATGCATGTGCAATTTTGCGCATGATCAAGCGGAGGCAAACCCGAAGCAATGCCCAAACGACATGCAATTACAGCAGGCGCTTCATGCTCGCACTGGCCCCAAAGCTCGCGACTGCTCGTGAACGCGCTTGGCCCAAATGCTGTTGCGTTTGGGTAGCCGTACCGGCACACAAAATACCCTGACTCAGGGTGAAACAGTAGCTATAGGTGACCCCATGCACCCCTAGCTTTAGCCGTTCGTTTGTTTTCGGGCATCCAGTAACAGTTCCTGTATGCACATATTGCAGCTGGCGTTTTCCAAGCTGCGACCTCCCTTGCTCTTGTGCGGGGAAGCTGTGGTAAATGAGGTATGGGTTCGATGTTTTGGCCGGTCGCATGTGAGGTGGAATGCACATAGAACCCTAGATGCACATTTGTGGAGGAGTCTCCGCATGGGGGACCCGTTAGTGAGGTTTCTTAGCTGCTATTGTTTGTTGCTTTCAGGCGATGGGAATGTCGCTCCTGCTGAGCTCATTTGAGCTTACTCCCAAGTTTGTGGCCATGGACCGAGTGGATATGTGCTCCTTAAAACAGTCACTGGCTCATAGCCATGGATTTCTGGGCTCCAAGGCTCAGCTTGTTGCCCAGACCGCTTGAGGCATTGCTGCGGCCGCAGGAGGCTGGGAGAGCTTGAGAACAAAACCGGGGCGGCGTCAAACGCTGCTGACTTCTTCCCAAGTTGTTGCTGTGTTGCCTGCTTCTGAACTTGCCATGAACAGCCTGCAGACAGTGGCTTGCCAGACAAACGCTTTAAAGGCTTTCTCCATGAGCTTGATGTGGGTGTGTCATGTTGTTGAGGGAACCCTTTCTGGAGGGGCACCACTGGTTTGGAGGCTTTCCCTATTTAAACAGAACCCCATGTTGCCAACAGGCAAAAGAAAGGCAGGGCAAACATTGCGAGGCTTCTCCCATGTTCACAGAGGCACGTACTTGAATTGGGCCCTACCTGAGCTTTGCGGCTTAACCAGCACTGACTTCCCGGTATTTCCACAATCTGTGGGCCTGCGGCGGGAATTGCATTCTGCTCAATGAATTCGATGGGACCTGTTGGTGAGTGAAGTTCTCAGGGGAGCTGGATCCTCCCTGTGTTTGAGAGGCACGGGGTTGATTGCCCTTGCGACCAGTGCCAGGCCTAAAATTTGCGAAATTCTACTTACTGCGTCAAAAGAGTCATTGGTTGTACACTTTTCAGCGAGACGATTTTCCGGAGAGGCTCTACTTCCAATCATGGAGGCTGCCGCGTGCCAGGGGGTCGGCATTTCGCTGGTTGCCAGTGAGAAGTGGCCGTCTTATTGATATGATTTTCCCAAAGGGCAACCCATCAGCCTTGTGGTTGTCAAAGGCCCTTCAATGGCCCCCCCAATCCCAGTAGGGTCTAGTAGTGACTAACGAGGCTCTTGGGGGCTAATAGCCTTTTGGGTGCTTTTTTGGGGTGTCCCCTCTTTTGGGGACCCCCTGACAACTATGAAACACAATTGGGTGGGTAACCGTTCGACTTGTTCAAAACTATTTGCCGACACCAGGAAACATTTGCGTCTCATCTTGTTCAAGCAGGGTTTAGGGTTGATGAACAGGTCTGCTCAAAACGTCACTTTCATGCCTCACACGAGGTATGTGTGGGCACCCAGCATTTACCCATTGAACAGCTTCCTGGTTTGGAGCACGAACAGTGTCCGCTCGTCTTAGAGGCTTCACAGCCAGGCCCTGCATGTGCAACTTCAGTGAGGCTGACCATGCGAGTGAGACTAAGATTCCCTTGACCATGTGCATAACCGTGCCATTTAACAAAAAATGAATAGCTGTTCAGAAGCTTGCGCGCACACCAAAGCCATCCCTCGAGAGCCGCCGTGTCCCAACTGGCTGCTACGGAAGCTCTCACATGGCGGTGAAATTTGTGTGCCCGATGCAAGTGATGGCTTCCTTCCCAAATCAAACTCATACCCCCTCAACATCCTCGTTGTGGGTAAGAAGATCTCAGAATGGGAACTTATCCTCTGACACCAGCTGACACCCAGGAGACCCCGCGCCGCGGGAAAACAGTCGGAGAAGAATGCAAAACCTCCCAACCGCCAGGTCCATGAAATACTTTTGGCCTGGGGTCGCGATCCAGGCTCCTGGCATTGAGGTGGCGGTGCCTTCCAGCCAGGCAGATGGCACAGAGCCCCTTTGTTTTGATTGACGTGTCTCAATATTATTTGGGCCCCCCGCGGTCGGTCTCCCTTGGGTTTCAATCAAAAACCAGAAAGGGGTCCGGTATGTTGAGACTGACCCACTTGGGACAGCAAGAGTTACGCCTTGCAACAAGAATTGCACGCTGGGTCGATGAATCATGAACTTGTTCATTGTGGACGGGTTTCCCTCTTGACTTGGGCTTCGCTACCTTGGACCTGTGATGCCGGTCGCAAGAACCTAGCAAGTCACTTGACTTGCTATGCAACATCTACACAAGGCCAAGTGGTCAACACTAAGTTGATATTTATCTCTCTGCGTGTTGGCACCCTTTCTTGGCACCAGAACCTTTCAGGAGACAAGTTCCCGCCTGGCAGAAAGGATGTCATGCCTGTCCTGGGAGCATACCCTTCTGACTTGTCGCTCGCCTTGCATGCATGGTCGCATCGACAATGTTTATGGCACTCTCGAGCCTTGTTGCGCTTGCTTTGAAACCGGGCACGTGTGCCCAGGTTTGGTTTCCTTTTCTAGAATCCACAAGGAGAATTGTGGCGTTGCTCGGGGGAAGACGCACATTGGGAAGTGAGCTCTTTTCTTGCAGGGTGACCCCAGCCAAACTCCGCCACAGATTTGGGTTCTGAAAAACGGACCTTTTTGGTTCCGCATGAAAGAACATGAAAGAACCATCCAAAAGGTCGGCCTTTTCGAGAGACCCCCATTTGTCTCGTGAGTAGTGGCCTCTCAGGGCCTAGCGCGGCAGGTCATTGCGCCAGGCCGTGGGGCTCTTAGGGGTCAGCGCGGCGGGTGTTGTATGGAAGCATTCGCCGACGGAGGTCACACGTGTTCTTCTTTTGGAAGATGAAGCAGTAGGCTCCAGCTTGTATGTTACATCCATTTGCGCATGCCAAACCTTGGCCCACTAACTTTGCACACTGAGCTCACAGTGTGCAAGCAATGCCCTGAAGCAATGCATGGCAACACGGAAGCTTTGGCTTGGATCATCTCATCAGCATGCTACATCCATAGCCGTGACCTGAGCGCCAGAAAGCTATCTACTTATTAGCATGTCCTTTCCCTTTGTGTGGCGTGACGGCTGTCCTCGTCCTTGAGAGTTCAGGATGGAAATGAGCGGCATTGGTCTAAACTCAGCCTGCGTTTAGGTGGTAAACATTGGTCGCTTTGCGTAGTCTATGTTGTGCCTGCGCGAGTTGGATGCACGACGCGGGCTGGAACCACCACGGGTCAATGGTGTCCTTTCATTGGGGCAAGACGTGCGTGCTGGCCGTATTGCCAAGATTGTCATTGTTTTGTGGGGCTGTCCTTCTTCCAGAGTTTGTGGCGGACGCGCCGCGCTTAGCCTGTTAGCCTTGTGCGGGCAGGCGCGCAGACATGCATTGGCTTACAATTGATGTATTTGAGATGTATAGATCGTTCAAGTGAGACATGAGGCGTGAGCATGTATCAAGCCCGTGTTTGGTGGAAAGCGGCGGCACCAGAGAAAACTCATTGGCATTTGTTGGTTGGTCAGTTTAATTGACTCACGCACAGAAACACATCGACTATGCAGCTTCCCCACCAAGTCGCCACCAGGGTTGCATGCCAATGGCTAATGGTTTGCTTGTGGTTAGCAGTTGCGATATGAATAAATTCCAAGCGTTGACCTTTTGTTCAACATCAGATCGACGGACGTGCTACTGTCCTGGTCGTCAGTCGGGCGCAACTCAATTGATCTCCAGTTCCAAGGCCACCGCAGAGTCAGGGCCATGGTTGTAAACGTGATGTAGGCATGCCACATTGAAAGGGCAGTGTCTTGCTGCAAATGTGTGCATGCATATGGGTGTGAATCTCGAGTGGACATCAATCAGGAGGGGATCTATGTCCGCCAATGATTTGGGAAGGCATTCCCCATCAAGTAACATTCATTGCCATAAACTTGCAACGAGTTGCTATTTGCATTGCTGATGCTGTTGCAGGTCCTGCGGAGCCACTGTCCCCCGACTCAGCGCAGAGCGCGAGAGGATGGGCAGGCGCCGGTCGCGTTGGTCACCCCCTCGCAGTGGCAGGCTTTGTGTCGTGCAAAGCGAGCAAAGTGCCCAACCGCTAACTGTAGCCTTGTTTAGGGATTTGGCAACTGGGTGGCTGCTAAAATAGCTGCAATGCGGACAGTTGCCCGGAGGGCCGCCGTGGCTTTTTTGGCAGGGGATGTCGGATGTTGGTCTTCGCTGTTTGGCTGCGATCCTTTTAAGTCTAATGTATGATGCAGTGTGAGTTGGCAGGTCGTGCCGGGATCTTTGCGGGAACCAAGAAGGGAGAGCCGATTCGGGCATTTGTCTGCATGCTTTGGCTCAGGCGTCTGATATTCTGGATGAAATCGTCGCAGTGTCAGGATTACGATCTGATTGTCTTGCCTCACTCAAGGTGGGACACGCCTTATTTGTGCTCGCAGCTTGGACCATGTGACGCTCTTGGCCCTTTGAAAGGGTTGTTCCCTTTGCCAACCAAGCAGAATCTAAGACCAGGGATTGCATGGCTTAGCGTAGCATCAGCCCAGGTCACTCCTGCAACGCCATTAGATGGCCAGAGCAGTTGATGCTCATTAAAATGGACAAGTGAACCAGACCACTCGCGGCGCCGCGTTTCGGAGCTATCGCAAAGCCATGGGTGGCGACGGCGCTGGCAAGGGCCAGCGGTCGCGCTATGCGTTCAAGGCCTTGCGCAAGAGACTGGCACACCTGAACTTGTTGGGCATAGACTGGGCTTCCTTTTGTCACCCTAAGCTTACAATCTCTTTCCCGTTCTGTGCTCAGGTCATGCGGTCCAGAGGATTTCCCTGGAACAGACCACACATGTGAGGGCCCATGTGCATATTTCCATTGTGTGGAACAGTGGCAGGCACATTCCCGAAGAAGATGTTGTTTCCAAGTGGCTCGCTAGGGTGGCTGATATGGCCCAGGGGAGGCTCTATGTTTCATGCGGGAAGGGGGAGCGACAGGCCTTGTGCCCCAACGATCTCATCGCACGCATGCTGGGCCGAGGCGGCTCCCGCAAGGAGACCTGGGACCTGACTCCGTTTTTCTCCCATGCCTGTGACATGGTTTGTTCTTGTTTGCAAAAACTCATTCATTCCGAAGCTGGTAGGATGAGTGGGCGACACGCTGCATATTCACAAAAATAATTTGAAGTGCCGGCGTGTCGACCTTAAAACCGCATGAAAGAGGGCTTTTCGTAGCGATGGCACTTACTTTGCTGAAAGAACAAGGTGCATGTATGAACCCCTGATGAAGAACTTCTATGGGTTGTTCGGACTGTTGTCTTTTTGGGAAGTCAGCCCCAAGGCCCTGAGTTCCTTTGTGTGAATCAGCCTTTGAAACGTTGTGTTCGCCGATGTATTTGTTGGTTGCCTGTGTGTCCTGCTTTTAAAGGGCGCCCACATTCAACCTGTTGTGCGCCAGGGGTTGGAGGCCATACAGTGAAGGTCACGAATAAGAGAAGCTTTAAGCCTTTCGGCAATTGAACATCGTTGCGGTTGGCGACGGCCAGATTCTTCCCTCACCTTCCTCACTACTGTTTGGTGGCCGCATTTTTTATGACAGGATCAGCTGCAAGACGAAACCGGCTGCAAAATCGTCATCAGCGGCCGGGACGACTACTTCCCCGGCACCCGGTGGCGAATTCTCATCGCTTTCTCCGACTCCCCAGATGCCTGCCTCGGCGTCCTCGAGCCTCGCTTGCCCAAAGCCAACCTTTTTCTTGCTGGTGCTCAGCAGGGAATGAGAATTCCCCCCATAAGCCATCTCTAGTGGCTTCCTTTAAGGGAATCCCTAGGTTCATTCCCAACACCCGGAAGGTCATTCCCTACTGAGCACCAGCAAGTTTTGATCCAGTTGTAGTCTTGGCCCAGGGGCAAACTGTCATATTTCTGAATCCTTTGGGCAAAGGAGCAGTTGATCAATGACATTGTCGAGCTGTCCAAGGAAAAGCCTGGGAGCCTTGGGCCAAATTGAGCCAGACTTACATGCACTTCTTGCTTGCACTGTTGTAACATGCTTGGCTCTCATGCCTGTCCAAGCGCACGCGCAATATGTTTGTGCATACATCTCCCTCTACTGGTATATGTGGGTGGTGCGAGCCGTTCTAAAAGCGAAATGTTTTTGGACTTCGCACATCGCGAGTTTTCCAGTGTGCGCGGACGACCGGGAGGGCGTGAGGGATTCCAGGCTGCCAGCATCTTTGCTGTGTGGAGGGCTCCCACAGGAAAAGCTGTGTAAAATATTGACTCGCTTTGCCTCTTTGGCCAAAAGACCAACAAGGCACAGACCTGCTTAAAAGCGCGGATGGTGTGCAGAAGGCGCCCAGACGACAAATGTGTGGGGGCAGTCCCTCTTTCTCCAACATTCAAGGCGCACAGCTGCCCAAGAGCTCCCAGGCTTGCGAGCGGCTCACAGACAAAACGTGGCAAGGTGACCCCATGGGCAAAGAACATTCCAACAAGAACGCGTCAATCGCTTGCCTTTGGCGGGAGCAGAAGGCACGAGCCCACGCTCCACTTCAAGTAATGAAGGCCCAGCCTCAGGGGCATGGAAGCGAGCAGAAGCTACCCCCCTCAGGCACCCATGCATGTGTCTGCGAGTATATATATATATATATAGATAAAAAATATAAAAATACGGTGTGTGTGTGTGTGTGTATGTATGTATATATATATATATATGCACATATGTATGTATTCAGTGCACGAACAGGGCCTTTAAAGCATTGATTTCATAGCACGGGTCGCTCCAGCACGAGCCCTGCGGTTTCGCGAGAAGCTCAAATAACTTGCTTGATCGGATGTGAGATGCTGAGGTTGGAAGCAGAGTTCACAGATTCTGGCCAGTATGTTTTTCGCTGCGTGGTCACGAAACAAATGTCTTCGGCGATCATCGGACCAAAGGGCGCCAATGCCCGAGCGATCCGCGAGGATTCCGGATGCAAGGCAGGGAGAACGCCGACACATACCAAGGAAACATAAGGAGTCGCTTGTGAGAAAACTGTCTCAAAGAGTTTTCACCATCCCCAATTCAAATCACCAGCGGAGGAAAGTGGTGTGCGTGTGTAGCCTCCACATATAGCGATGAACACAAGTCGTTTCCCGCATGTTTTGTTGGGAAATAGTCAAGGGTTGGTGGAACCCCCGGACACCATCTGATCCGGGTCAATCGCGTAAGAAGAAGCCCCCTGCAAGGTCGCGGTCGACTCCAACATCATAGGTGGTCACCAGCTGGTGAAGCTCGTCGGGGAGCCACGAGGTCTCAGAGTTGCCATTGCCATGGTGAACCGGCACCTGGGACGCTAACATTCGGCTCGTGCAGTAGGCAACCAGCTGTTTCCTTTCAGATTTTTTTGGGCAGCTGTTCCAATGCCACATGCCGCTCAGGCATATTCAGGACCAGTGTGGCAGCCCCGCCTACTCGGATTGGGCAAGCGTCAAGTGCTTCGACCGCTCGGGAAATCCCGTGTACATGCCTCCTGCGGAGACCTTCGGCAAGGGCGAGCGGGGCGGCCAGCATGGCCATGCGAGCCACACGAGCCAGGAGCGAGAGGATCGAGAGCGCACACCCCGCGGGCAAGGCGGGCCTTGTGACTTGTGCTTGCGATTGGACGACCCATTGATTCGTTTGCCCGTCCGTCCGTTCCTCCATCAATGTGCAAGCCAAACCAGAAACAGGGCCTTTCAGCAATCAGCCCCTTTGTTTGGCATCAAGCGCAACTCGGATCCAGGATCCGCCCGCGGCCGCGCGGCCATCCCGCCACCTGCATCCCTGCAACCTGGCATTGTCCAAGGTTGCTTTGCTATGGTTGAGTGGCCCAATGGTATATATTGTGCCACCTATACCCAAGCATACCAATGCCATGCCTATGCTCTTGGTTAGGCTTCAAAATGACGGTTCATCAAAATGGCGCACCTGTCTCAACAATTGAAAGGACACATGCCTGTTAAGTGGACCGCTTTCCAGAAACACTCAAATCGTGGGACGAGATGATGGCTGTGGATGCCTTCCAAGACAAACATGCGGCTTATTTACCCGAGTTGTCCCTTCTCGCACTCGCTTCTGTGAGGAGTGTGGCGGGGTTCAGTTTTGGTATGCTTTGATTGTTTCTTAACAAGCCTTTAGCCCACTGATAACCCTTGTTTGGATCAACCATCTCTGCATTTATCGGGCCAACCAAGCATGCAACCATGTTTTGGTACATTGCAAGGACCAGCCTGAAGCAGCCCGAGTCGGAGGTGGATGCAGCGTTGCTGGATGCCCTCAGTCAGACAGCCACCGCCTTTCCTCCAGGCTGGACTTGTGACAACCGAGGATTCGCAAAAGACAATAGAACCCAACAGGAGGAACATTGTTCAGGATCATTTCTCGCTTTCTTGAAGTTTCAAGGTAGGTGTCGCCGCAAACTTGCAGAGTTCCGAGCAACAAACAAGGTAGAGGGGGGTTTCCCACCTTCACCTGGGCAGCCCTTGAATATTCCACGAATGGCTGAAGCAGCCAAGATGAGCGGTCAAAAACGGGATCTAGCTTATCTAAAGGCTTCCACCCCTCTTCAAGCTACGTGGCGAATGCTCACAAGTGCTTCAACCACAAAGGCTCAATCAAAGCAAATGACTGCATGCAGATTCCGGAGCACAATTTGAGACAACAACATGTCTCTAAAGTGCACTCCGTTCAATGAACCTCATGTAAGACCGGGCAGCGCATTGTCGGGCAGGTGGGCTTGACATAGAGTACACCATCACCTGTGAGCTGCCAAGCGAGAAGGTAGGCCTTCTCATTGGAAGGAAGGGCGAGGATGTGCAGAGGATCCGCGCCAGAGTCTGCACAGCTATCCTTTGCTGACTTTGCTGACACTGTTCACATGTTTGTATGACTGGTTTCCTGTGGTTGTGAAGGGCAGCCCACAGGGGTCCCCCAATCCCGATGGGGGTCAACAGCGACTAATACCCCTGACAACCACGGGATGATTACTTGCTCACTCTCGCTGCGTAAAGGTGGCCAACACTGCCTTAGGAATATTGACAAGGGTGCAAGTTGAATTTTACTTCACAGGTACATAGTTTGCGTGCTTCCTTGTGAACAAAACATGTTAACATTGATTGCAGCCGTAGGAACAGGTGCCTCTGCGATGTGCTAATTCGTCTGCCGAGCCAGCTAGTCAAATAGTTTGTCGGCTTGCTTGCGTTGTTTAATCCTGTATCAGGTTGGAAGGCTTGGGTTTACAGGCTTCATTCTGCAAGGAGTGTATTGGATCATGCGGGGCCTTTTGGCTCAAGTATGATCCAAACTGGCTAAATTTTAACTTCTGGTTTTGCGTGTTCGGCAAGGGTTACTTGTCGAATGTTGGCAGTTCCAGGAGTTGACTTGGCCGTCCACACGGATCGGCCGCTCTTGTCTGCAGGCGCCTACATCGACTTCAAGCGCCATGTGGGCACTCTGCTGGAGCAGGGGAATCATGGCCAGGCCCGGCTGCTCTGGCTTTTCGGCTGTGGAAGTGTTGCATGCCCCCTTCATGCAAGCACCCCTGCCCTTGGTTGATAGTGGGGAGATACCCCACTTGCAATTTGCACCCTGCACCGATGACCAGTGTGCAAGATGTGACGTGTCTCTTGGCGGCTTCAAGTTCCCGTTCATTGGCACCTGGTGTCGGCGTGCAGTCTTGGTTCAAGAAGGTGTATCTGCAGAGGAGGCCTGGGCCGCCTATCATGGGTGCTATGAGGAGGATCGCCTGTCAGAGGCCATGGTGGCTGAAGCAGGCAGTGGCCTCCGTGCCCAGGAAATCATCCCCGAGATCGTGGAAGCCCGACGCCTCGCGTACAAGCTTGAAGGTACCAAGCACTCGGAGGATGTCTTGGAAGAGGTGTGTGACATCTGTACGGCTCTTCGCACCCCGGCCACGCGCGCACAGCGGGCAGAGCTTGCCCTGCGCTGGTTTGAGAGTGATATCACGTGGTACGGACGGTGGGAAAATTGGAAAGTGCGCAGAGATCACGAGGGCTCGCCGAGCAGCCCCCGAACCGATGTGAAGGAGCTCATCAGTGAGTGGCGGGCGGGTGGGAGCCTGGGGCCTCTCTGTAGCCTCCGCTGGCGGGCCTGCACCTCCAGCCCCCGCGGCTCGGGAGCTGAGTTTTCGGGGACTTTTCGGAGATCCCTGCGCACCACCTTTTCCGGCCACCCCTCCAAGCCAAACCTCGCCCCCATCTCCCCGCTCTCGGCGGAGACAACCCTGTATACCTTTTCGCTCCAGGCTATCTCGTTGACCCTGTAGGAGCCCCTGCTTTCGATCGGCTTAACCCTGATCCTAACCATATCCCCGACCTTGATTTCCGGGCGGGTCACCTTGTGTTTGGCCCTGCGCTCGATGTTGCGCAGAGCAATCTCCGCCATTTCGGGGTCAGAGAGGCGAGGTTCGGCGCCACCTGCGTGGTAGCGTGCTTCCTTCTGTTGATTTGGTTTAAGATGTCAGGCAGCATGAGGTGCCACTGGCCCCGCCGGCCCGCTCCGGCTGCTATGCGACGCAACATGGCCTCCTTGATGGTGCGGATGGTGCGCTCTGCGAAGTAGGCGTGGCCCCTGGTCACCTGCTTCTCGATGTCCCAGAAATCCATCAGCTCCTTGAACTCCCTCTTGAACTCGGAGCCGTCGTCGGAGTACACGTTGGCCGGCACCCCCAGGCTTGGAACACCTTCTTCATGCCCCGCCGCGGTGGTGGTCGCAAGACGGTCCTTCAGCGGCTCCGCGGCCACTTTTTTGGTCAGCGCATCGATGCCACCAGCATGAAGGGGTAGGGCTTGCCGCCAAAGGCCTTCATGTCTGCCAGGTCCACCTGCAGCTGGTTCATGGGCTCCAGAGGCACGAAGCTGTTGTAGCCTCTCTGCCATCGATCCTGGTTCACCCGGAGGCCGTCCAGAAACGCCTTCACTTCCTCTCTGGAGATGCTGGGGTCGCGCACCTGAGCCTGCCGCAGCGTCTGCGCTATGCTGCCGAAGCCTGTGCGGGGATCCTCGTAGACGGCCTTGATGGTTCGTCTGCGGGCGTCAGCCATGTTTCTTATGGCTTCTTCGGCCCCCGCTGGGCCTGCCAGGCTTCCAGTAGAGGTAGCGGCCGCGATCAGTCGAGAGGAAGCTATCCGCGATTCTGATCTTGTAGACGGCCAGCCGGGCGTCGCTCTGCAGGTGCAGGGACTCTCCCAGGTCGACCTCGAAGTCGCTGTCAGAGCCGGCCACCCTCTTGCGGCTGTCCACGTAGATCGTGGTCATCCCTTTTCTAAGTAAGCCACCCGTCCGGCGGACGATGGGCGACTGGATGGCTGCGACGGAGGTGCAGCAGGAGATGTTCTCACACCTCGCGTTGATCAGCGTGGAGCTATGTCTCCGCCATTGCTGGACGGGTGGAATCGGGCGACCTCCCCTTCGTATCCTTCAGGGGCTTCATGGGGACCTGGAGGAGATGGAGTTTGGGGTCTCGGAGTTAAGCCATGGCCCAGGGAGGGTGACTCCCTCCACAGCGGGGAGGCTTCTCCGGGGGTGGCTGGACGAACCTCCCTTTGGGCGGGTTTTGCGCCTACTGCGGCAGCAGGGCTCATTCTGTTTGCGCATCATGCGGCATCCACCAATGTGAAGCCTGCCCCATCCGTTGCTGCCAAGTGCTGCTCCTAGCCATGGCGTTTCGCGGCTACTCCTGGGCGCTATGCCACTGAAGCCATGGCACTCCGGGGGCGCCCGGGCGGCTCTGGCGAGGGGCTCATGTCTCGTGTCCAGGAGGCCAACGTTCGTGCCTTTCGGCAGAAGCACGGGCTGATGCAGGACTCCGACTTCGGCTTCGCCTTTGAGGCCTTCGAGGATGCCGTCCGCGTGGGTGGCCACTTCGTAGCCGCTGAATGGGCGCGGGTGCGGGCGGAGCAGCAAGCCCACCTTCTCCCGGCAGCTGCGGCAGTGGTGGAGGTGGATCCCTGGCGAGTGACGCCGGTGGGGCCATCGACCCTCCGCCGGCCGGCGGTGCGGCTCCCAACGAGCAATGTGGGCCTGCGGTTGGGGCAGAACCCGGATAACGCCGAGGCGGTCCGCCGCAGGTTCAACCTGCTGACAGAGGCCTTCAGGAAGCTGGGTGTCCTTCGACCTCGGAGGCATGATGACCCGAAGCGCTACGCTGACTGGCAGCAAGCGGTTCGGAGGCTTGCTCAGGAACGAGTCACCCAGTCTGAGGCGACCACGATCCTGAACGCTGTGAGGACGTTCCAGGAGCTCTCGCTCTTCCTCGCAACCAGGGACGTGCAGGACCCAGAGGAGTTGGACTTTCACGCCTTCCTCGAGCAGGCTTTGTCGCCCTTGCGAGCGCTGCAGTCTTTGCGCTGGCTGTCCAACAATGGCAGGTTGCAGTGGCAGCTGGATCGCCTGAAGCCCCCCAAGGTTATTGGGAAGGTGCGCAAGGCGAGGTCCCAGGCAGTGGTGGTGGAACCGCCCATGCTGCTCACCCTGGAGGGCAAGATCATCGAGATGCAGCAAGCCCGCGATCCAGCGTGGACAGCAGCGCTTTCGTCGTGGCTCGTGGCAGCGGGCTGCCTGCGCTACAAGCACCTGAGCCTGTCCAGCCCGGTGAAGATCAGCAGGGAGTTTTTCCATGGCCACTGCCACAAAGGGAAGCAGGCCCACAACCGACAGGAGGCCATGCCATCCAGGCTGGGCGAGATCTTCCTCACAGGGCATTTGAAGAACGGCACAGCCCTGTGCCCGGACTTCAACACGGGGGAGTGCCGCCAGGACCCGTGCGCAAGGGAGCACTTGTGCGCGATGTTGCAGCAGACGGGCAGGGCATGCGGAGGGCGCCACCCGGCCAGCGAGTGCCGAGCGAAGCGGCGGATGACCGAGGCTAAGCTTCGCGAGCTGGGGCTGCCCGTGCCGGCTGACCCTGTGGAGGTGGGAGCGACCCACCCTGCAGGGGCGCCATCGGAGGCACCGGCCAAGAAGCGCCGAAGAATCTTGTCCCCACCACTGCCAATCGCCCCGGCCGGGCCCATGTCATCCAGACCGTCGGCCGAGGAGCTTCGTGAGGCTGCAGCAGCCGACCATGTTGTGGACGTTGAGGATGCGGAGATCGGTGAGGTTCCCGCCTCGGTGGATACCAGGCGCCCAGCAGAGCCAGCCGAGGTCCCGGGCAACTTCTTGGAGATCCCGGAGTGCTTGGGCCTGAACCCGGCTGACAGCAAATCGGACCGGTTGGCAACCGTGAGGGGGAAGTCCGCACAGATCCCATCGCTGATCTACAACAACGTGAAAGGAGGAGCCCTTTTCTTGGCGGGCATCCCCACGCCGGTCACGGCTGCAGCCTTCCCGGCATGCAGCCTGCAGGTGGTTTGCTTCCCGGAGAGGCTGGCCCAGCGGCAAGGTGTTCCCTTGTCCGGGGCTGACGTGGAGTACTTCGCCATCGCCCACGCCGATCGAAGGCAGGAGGACTGGGACCGGATCTGGCCCTTGGTGCGGCGCTCGCTCTACCATGGAGATGTCGTCATCGTCCACTGCATGGCGGGGCGTCACCGAGCCGCTCTGGCGGCAGCGATGTGGCTGTCAATGCTGAAGGGGATCAGCCTGGCGGATGCGGCGGAAATCCGGAGATGCCGCGATGCGGAAATCACCAAGACCGCAATGGCCGGATGGGTGCATCAGGCGTTGGCGAGCTCCTCAGAAGGTGTGTCTGAGCCGGTGTGCACCGGTTTCATGGCCACTGCGAAGAGCCAGGTCCACATCAGCACAGCCAAGGGCTACCCGCTCTGCCAGCACAAGCAGGCAGCTCGCCGAGCTGATCGTCTGGCCT